CCAGCATGTTATATTATTTTCATAGCTATTATACTAGTTTCCCAGCATGTCATACTACTTTTCATAGCATGTTATACTCTTCTTCAGCATGCTATATTGTTTTTCTTCTTTACTGTACAGTACATTGTTACTTTTCTTTCACACTGCATGTTTTATTGTTTAGTTTTTGTACTATGTCTTAGTATAGAATAACCTAGTGGTTGGGTGCATTTTCAAAACTAAAACTAAACCACGAGGTGCTACTACGAAGAGTTTGGAGCGAACATCGTAGGCAGCACGACGAGGAACAATTTCCAGGTGGATCTGCAGCAGAAAAACACATTCACATCACCTATCACCTTCTTTAGTTTAAATAACAACCCATAGGATCACTCTTTAGGCTTTTCTCTTTCACTCTTTAGGCTTTTTGTACAACTCTGTTGTACAATTATAAGTCCTAACGTTTTAGAATTCCGAGGTTACTATGCAGTAAGGTGTAAATCCTCCTGTCTTTTTAGGCTATTTGCACAGTCCGATGTTGTGCAAATGCACAGTCCGATTTTGCACAGTCCGATGTTGTGCAAACATAAGTCCTAAGTCCTAAATAATTTGCAGGATTGAAATATCAAATTACATCATTTCAAAAGACATGAAGCCGAACAATAGGATAGTTGGGAGTTCACCTGGGTTTTCCCCGAATCCGTGATATCCACAACTTTTCTTCCTTTTGAATTCCTTAAATAATTGCTCCTATTTTGAGTCATTCCCATTTGATTTTCCCATGTCCAACCGTGAAAACCTAAATTTTGAAATCTTGAAAGCAAAATCACCTGATCTTAATCAAGAGTTTTCTTAAGTGACTCTCAGTCATTTAAGATATAATTAACTATAGGGGTTTGCCTCTATAGTTGCTTCTATAGAAAACTTAAAAACGCAGTTTAAAATAAACCTTATTTAACTTTTCATGTTAAATATGTCGGCAAATAAGACAATAAAAAATATTTCGCAGACCAAACGGATGTCACAAATTGTTTAGTCTAGGTGATTGAATCCCTATTACAAATAATATATTTATTTTTCGGGATAAGTGTATTGCTTGTAGTATTGTATTAAATCATCTAAACTATTTAAAATGTGAGACTCGTTTGGTCTCACTTATTTTAAAAATTAAAATGTTACTTTTAAAAATAAAAAAGAGTTATATTTATATTTAAATTATTTTCAAAATCACAAAATCATCATTTTTTTCAAATCACGAAGTTAAAAAAACGGTCGACAGCAGGTAAGAACCGCGATCCTTCGTGAAGGCGAGAGGTAGGGATCGCAAATTTTTGAGATGCTTGGGGATGCAGTACAATCCAGGGAAGTTTCGCAGTGTCTTCCGGATTATTCTTCTTTCCCTCCTTTTTTCTTTTGTATATAAGTTTCCTAGGAGCTTACAAATTGTTGTTCTTTGTGTGTAGGGAGTCAAATTTCGTTGTGTTTGTTCTCAAATTCTTATGTGGAATTCTTTCTCCTTTGTGGGTTGCATCTGAGGAGTTGATAGTTCTTCAGCTATATCTTTTCCAAGTGGTGTTGTATCCTCCTTTTTTAACCTTCCACAAACCTTCTCCTACCCACTCCTCAGCCGCCGAACTCTCCCTCCTTCACCACGACACCCAACAATTTCCCCTTCCCGCAGGTTATTATTGTTGACCCACCTCCCAAACTCCGTTCAAGCTTTTCCCAACCACCACACTACCACTACCAACCACCTATAACCCTTTCCACCTGCTGTCTCTACAGTTCCGCACCTTCCCTTCGCTACCACCCGCCTCCCATGGCTGTCATCATCCCTCCCAATCATCCATATCCATCTAGGTGACCTCCACCACTCACTAGGATACATTTAGGAGTGTTTGTTTGTGTTGTTTTTATGTTTTGTGTTGTTATTTCCATTTGTGTCATGTTGTAACCCTATTTTAATATTAATGAAAGTTTGTTTTAGTGTTTCCACTGTTCTTTTGACTAGTTTCGGTATCACAAATATCTAATAGATTATCTTATCGTATATCTAGTGACCTAATTTATAGTGGCCTTCCTCCACTTATAAAGAGATTTGGAGGAAAAACATTCATGCCTTTTATCAAATAACCCTAACTGCTCAAACAAAATTGGAAAACACTTCTATAACACACCCATTGCTTGCAAGGTCTGTGCTAAGGTGCAAGATGGGTCAAATTCAAATAGCATCATTAAGTTATAGGAAGTGAAAGCTCAAATATTATCCAATAAACTTCGTTCGTATTCATTAAGAATAAATGATTTCTGCATCAACCCATGAATTAGGAACTTTTCCTCCACTCCAATAACATACATCAGTGCCAAATCAATCCATTTGAAGGAATCTTTTCTTGATCTTGAGTTTTTTATCTACATAATAATCAAATAGTTTATCAAACTCAATTATGCCAGATCCATAAGTCATAGGAAAGTGTCAAATGTGATTTCTTATTAGAAAACATAAAGAACCAATATCCCTCCCGTAACTGCAAAAAGATTCCACTGTAGCATCCTCCAACCGTCCCAGAACTGTCGACGCTCCTCCAACCTATTAGCTAGCCCCAGCAACTCCTTGCACTTACTTTCTAGGTGCTGCCAAAAGCCACTTTCAACTCTCTTTCTCTCACAACCACCTCCAATCCGACCCCTACCGATTATCCAACCGCCAGCTGCCAACGGCCAGCCGCATACTCGCTCTAGGGCATCATTCTTTATGTTTGTTATCATATATTTCTTGTTTTGAAGAGTCGCGTAGTAACCTTTTTAAATTTCAATAATAAAACTTGTATTTCTATTGTGGTTTGGGTTAACTTCATAATCATAAGGCTTCAAACACTCGAGTGTATAAAAGACAATTAATTTGACTACATACCAAGAAGATACATTATATTGGTTATTTTTGTTTAAATGCACTAAATGGACAATTATAGAGAGAATCTATATGATTACTATATAGACAAATATAGAGAGCAACTATATGATTATCATATAGCTCCTATTTAGCTTGAAAGGGATGGTGATCAAAAAACATTCTCTAATTTTGTGTGAATTGAGAGAATATGTAGGAAAACTCGTGTTATTCTATTTAAATAAGTAATCTAAAGCATTAGAATGAATCGTAAGGTTTGCAAGTATTTTCAATCACATATATCAAAGTTAAAAGAACGATTGCATCTTTTTTTTTATTAGGAGTGCGGATAAAATACACTCAAAATGAGGCATCCTAGTCATTTACCATTTAGCAATAACATTGTTCAAGTGTCAGATCATTTGAAGTAATTAAAAGGTTTAACCAATGAAAAAAAAAACACTTACAGGGCTTGAAAGTAGTAGAACAACGAATGAAATATCTAGTGATAAAGACAACTTAATATTACTAAACGAAAAAATTATTACATATTTATGATAGATATCTTGGAGTTAGTAAAAAAACTTAAAGCTAGCTGATGCAAACATCAAAGTTTATTGTTGTCCAAAATGCAACATAAAGTGTTGATACATGATAATTAATACTTTGATTCTTGACTTTACCTAAAGTTATTTTAGGTTTTAAAAAAAAAATCTTTAGTTTTAATCTAATTAACAAAATGTATAATGGTGAGGATCACTATGGAGAATGAGTAGTGTTCTCCAAAGCTTACGTTTGTTTGGCTGAGTTTTTTTGCTGGTTGTCTTTTTGGTACAATTCAGGTTATTGGTTCTTCATGTTTTGCTCATTGGGCATCAATTTGGTTATTTGCTTCGAGCCCGCAATTACTTTTGTTAGTCTTTAGTTGTTTCATTTAGGGCATGCTATTTACTATTCTTAGACATTCAAACGGCCATTATCTGGATTGTTATTTGAGTCATGATTCGATGCCTATTTAGTTGTGATTTGGGTAATGTTTTGGTTGGATAGGCATGGTTAATTTGTGAATTTCATGTTCGGTGAAGTACACCTTTTTTTTATTCCGGAAGGGGATCCCCTATTGTAGTTTGCTTAGAGGTTTTAACTATTTATCAATTCAATCAGGCTGATTGTATACGCAAAATTTTGTTATCTGAGGACGAATTAGAGGTAACAAATAAATAAGGGACACTTCAAATATGTAAAGAAGCAGTTCTAATAAAATCACTTTTGAATTACTTTTGTTTCCTTTGACTTGAGTTCTGGATTGGATGTGGTTCCTTCTAGCATAGTATAAGTGGAGAACACAAATTTTCAAGGGAAGTTATCTAATTGTACCTGTCCGAATTGTTGTTGGTACCATATCTCCTGTTTTCTATTTCTCTAAAATTAGGGATCGGTTTATTTATATGGACTAATTACACTTTGTCATTTCCATTTGTGATTTCAGCTTCAAATCAAACACTTGATTTTTCTTAACACTCTAATTTCTATGTGAGATTTTTATTAAATGATGATTAAATTATAGCTTGTGAACATTTGGCTGTTTTTTTAACTTTAATCTAAAAAAATGACAACTTATCTAAATTTGTATTTTGTGAACTACAAATTTAAACTTCTACGTGTGATTATTCCCATCTAATCCTAGATCAACATTACCGTTAACCTGAAGAACAAGAGAGAATGTAATAATGTTAGAATGAACAAGTATTAATATTTAAAAAAATAGTTATATTATTGAGAGGGTGAGAACAATCCTTAGTAAATATAAGATAAAATAGATTCAAGTTATCTAGCTATATTGACAAAAAAATAAAATCACCAAAATATTGAAGAGAAAATAAATATGAAAAGAAAGAAGTGCAAAATAAACGAAATATAAATAAATGTTGTGCCAAAAAGATTATGGAAAAATAAAACCTCGTGTAGCAATTGACTAGAATAAATGGAGATAGAAGATTTACAAAGCCAACACAAATAACTGCGATAAGTTTAATGCTATAAAAAAGACGCAAAAACAACATACAAGTTCAAATCATGGATGGTACGCATATTCATAAGTAGACTAGACATAATGAAAAGAGATAATAACCTGAAGAGGTGTTCCAGTTAAAAGCACACGGTGCTTCGCATTAAAAAGTTTTAGTTGAAGAAACAATTTAGACTCTTTGTTTTTAAGACGGTGACCTTCGTCTACAATCTGCAACGATAAAAGCAACCATCAAGGTAGCAGAACAAATGAAGACAAATGAAGATATTGAAGAGTAAAATTAAGGAAGCAGGAAGACGATAAAATACCATGCACTGCCAGTTAATAGATTTCAGAGACACTGAATCCATGTTGATCATTTCATACGATGTTAAAAGAACATCAAACTTTGTTCTTTTCGCTTGTTTCTTTTGTTTGGCATCTTTAAAAGATTTCTTCTTCTTATGTTTTTTTGTTTTCCCTTTGGGCATAAAAAATTCATAATTCCTTATAACAGTACGAGCTTGGGCCGATCCAAAATACATTACCTGAACAATATTCAAATAATGAGAATGAAGAACCAGAACAGCTTCATTTCTGTAAAAAGGAAAAAATAAAAGTTTCCACGTACAACATTCATTTGTGGAGCCCATGTTAAGAACTCACGCTCCCAGTTCCGCAGTGTTGAAAGTGGTGCTATCACTAAATGAGGAGAGATTTTGTCTTCAAGAAGAGAAGCAAGAAAAGCAATACTCTGTATAGTTTTTCCTGCATTTAGCACTCACAAATCAGAGACATGTATAGAGCAATTTGGTTGACAATGTGAACGATTCATTAATTGCTCCTCAGAAATATGTACCGAGGCCCATCTCATCGGCAAGGATCACATGAGTGCTTTTAAACCAGGAATAGCGTAGGAAATTTAGACCTTCAAGCTGATACGGATGCAATGTCCCTGGGTGTATTCTTAAAAGTTATTTAAAATTATATTGGCTTAAGAACTGTAAGAAAACAACATGCATCATACCTCCAGAAATAAATTCTGGACTTTTCTCAAACTGCTGGAACTCTATCCTTTTCTCAAAATGCTGATATTCATTCTTTTCCTCAGACGGTTGTAACCCGTACTCTTTAAGTATTGGATCATTTGAATCGTGGTTGAGAGTTTTGTTCTTTCTACGACGTTTCTTGCTACCTCTAGACTGTATCGTCTTGAACCTTTCAATTTGAGGTTGAAAGGTAGAAATATCTGATTTAAATTCCCATGAACATTCATCATAGGGAAGTTCTCTCCATTTCACAAAATATTCTCGTTCATCACCAATTTTCCTGCAAAAAAATAATCAACCCCTAGTCAAAAAAATAAACCTACATAGCACCTCCCAGTAATATAAGAACAGATAAAAATTAAACAAAAAATATGAACAGTGGTCGGAGATAGAAAGGGAGATTTGGGGAGAGCATGAAAGAGTTAAAGAAACTTCTGGCAGAAAGAAATGATTTATCAAAGAATTTTTTTTAGTCTTTCAATGTCATTAAATATTCAATAAAACATTTTAAATATTTTTTTAAATGGTGGAAGGAAAGCCTTAGTATTTGATTTCAATTACATGGATTATAATTTAATTCCACAAATTATGATGAAACTCAGCCGAGAATATTTATAGAGTCGGCAAACAAAGCAGTGACTTTCAAACACTATTGAGACAGTAGGATAAGTGCTTCACAAACGATATATGAAAACACATGATAGCTCCCCATATGTCCAAATTACAGAAATATATTTTATTTCTGCTTCAAAATTTTTCAAATAATAAGAGTACAAGGACAACAGACAATATGATAACCTTGCTGCAATGATTCTGTCTACGGTTGTCCATTCAGGGCGAATGGCAATCCAATCATCACCAGTGCCACTCAGTGAATTCAATTGTTTTTGAAAACTATTTAATCGGATTCTCAAACGAGGATTGACTTTGCAAGCCTTTTTAAACTCCTCCTCTGGCACCCTGTTCGAAATTTGAGATTTGCTTTAAAAACTTATCACAGCAGAAAAATTGCGACAACAAAAAAAGAAGTGCAAGTAATGCTGGTATTCATATGAAAAAAATGATCAGCAGCAAAAATTAAATGCATGTTTTTCCAAATTACTCAAGATGCCACCTATGTAATGATTAACAAGATTGTACATAGTAAAAGAGAGAGGAATGCATATTGAGCAGTCACTTGAGGAAAGTTAACTAGTCATATTTTTTTCCATAGCAGTGTACAAAATCAAAAAATGTGGGTACCAAGTGCAGTGAAGATAGGACAATCCCTTCCACTTCACTAAATAATGCTTCACGCCAGCCTTTTTGGGCCCAGAATGTGTAACATCAACTCCATCTACTGCAGTTGCTCGTGTTTCACAGTCTAACATCTTATCAATCTCATTGAGGGGATTTACCTGCAGAGATTACGATGATCAATAAATGGGGTAACTGCTTCTCTTAGCACTGAATGACATAGTGTTTGAATTTGGATTTATGGATTAAATTCATTAGGAACCGCATAAAACCAATTTTCTTAAGTACTTGTATCAAAAATTTGGTCAGAACTAAGAAGATTACACATTCAGGACATGTCCAATTCTCAGTAGCTGAAGCTTTCATAGGATAAATTAAGCACTTTTGATGGAATGAATATGTGCAAGTTCTACAACAAAGAAGGCTTCCATTTTCTCCACATGCTTGGCACGCACCTTCCTTCTACAGAAACAGAAAGAACTGTCAGCTCTAAAAGATCACCCCACTCTGTCATAGCCAAATAGAAAAATAACTTCAAAGCTTATACTCTGATGCAAATAAAAAATTAAACTTATAGCACGGACTATGAATAACACTATTTCTGAGATCACGCAAACCACCTTACTTCCCCACTGTGTAAACTTCCAACAAAATAACCAATGAAATATTTTCTCCAAGCTATTTTGGTAAGGTTAATGATTATTTGGTTCAAATTACTCCAAAGGTTACATTTTTTAAGAATTAAAACAAAGAAAAACCCCTATAGCAATTTCTTTTTTAAACGTGTAAGATTCCATCATTTCTAGCACATATCATATTCCTAAAATAGGTGAATCTTATCAATCAAATAAATGTTAATCTGTACAAGATAAACTCACACATAATGGCGCTTAACTTCCCAAGCACATGGTGTAAGACATATGATGCAGGAGCATGATTGACTTTTGCTTAACGTAATCAACTAAAGACAACAATTTGTATTCAGTTCATGTTTTAAGTTTTATGAGTGCTCCATGAGAAATAATATCTCAAATTTAAAAAAAAAAGTATAGTAACAGCACAAATTAAATAAATATAAAATGAATTATTTGCTTATAAAAAAAATAAAATAAAATTATATTTATCAAATACCATATGCTCAATTTAAGATAATATAAGCAAATGCTATTATAGATTGTTATCATAAACTAAGAAACACTTTTGCAAGAAAAATAAAATACAAATCTAGAAAAATTTCTAGGAAAATACAGTAGAATTAAAATTTTAGTTTTACATAGCAATTGTTATGTAAGTAGTATACAATAAAATAAAAAAAAGAAATGGATTAACTACAATTATTGATGCATAATACATTTAAAGTTAAATTTATTACTCGTAACAAGTTTTCAGACACTAATGCCGGTTAATATTTTTATTTATTTTAATTGGACATATAGATGATGTGTTTGACACCTGTTGGGTGTGTGTTGAACAAGTGCACATGTCCTACCTATGTCGGACAAGTGCGTACCTCAATATTAGGAATATTGATGCATCATAGTTTAAATGTAGCTTTTTTACAATGATACTAATGTGGCTTCCCAAAAAAAGTGCTTCTATGATAGAAAAAAATCATAGAAGTGCTTTTTAGGAAGCAAACATATGTATCATTCCACTACTTTTGGTTTTCATATCCAAAATTATTCTCGCAATTGCTACACAGAATATTAACATTTATATCTTATCAGTTAATTATGTATTTATTTTAATCAACCGCATACTATTTATGATTAGTGGGATAAAGGCTTGTTGTAGCTGTTGTTCATTCTATTTATGATTAGTGGGATAAACGCTTGTTGTTGTTGTTGTTGATACTATTTATAATTAGACAATTATATTATAATTACATGAAATCCAATAATACATTGATTTCGATAATTCTATCAACTCCTATTACTGTCATACCAATTTGGGTCAAGCCACCACAACCCATACAGAATTTTACACCACAATTTTAATATGATGCTACAACATAATCCTCAGCTTTACTCAACAGCATATAACACAACTTTATAAAACACAATATAGCATACTATAGCACAACAGCAGAAGAAAACCATTAATGATTTATATTGCCCAACACCTGGATCCATGAAAAACAGCCTGTATAAATGTAATTTTGAATAATGTAATTTTGAATAATGTAATTTTGAATAAACCATCTTTATTTCTCCACGATAGCCTCTTAATTTCTACATAAATAAAAAAACAAACCAAAAAACAGTATAGTTGGATGATACATTTAAAAAAATTATCCACATAAAAAGTTGATGTCAGAAGTTCTTAATGTGGAAAGTACAGCATAAAATTAAAAAAAGGCCAGCACAAATTCTCTCTCCCCCAAATGGGGAAAGTACACTCACTACACTCATCAAGGCACTTAACAGCACAAACATTAATCACCATCCCTTCATATGCTTCATATCTCAATTTATATGTTCATTGATCACAAAAACAAGCACTACCTTGTAAATGAAATCAGGCATACTTAGAGATGTGCTTAGTTTAAATTGGTTCCTAAATGACCATGATTTAAAAACGAACTAAACATCAAAAGCAAAAACTAAAAGTTAAAAGAAAAAAAAGAAAACCAAATCAAATCAAACAATGCAATTTAGCTTAGGATTTAAGATAAGAAAATAGAAAGCAATTATTTTTATTAGTTTGGTTCGATTTAAATCAATTTCTTGGTTATAACATATTAGTAGTATAGCAATGATTTATATGTTATAAATTTGGAATTAATCATTAACTTTCATTTTATGGCTAAAGATAAACCATGTCTTAATAAACTTTAGTTCATTTTTTTTTACCAAAAACTCAAAATCAAAATAAAAAACCCAATCATTTACAAAAATTCCTAAATCAAAATCAAATCTAACTTAAACTTAATCAAATCAATCAATTTATTAAGTTTTGTTTGGTTTAAACAATCTTTTCTAAGCTATAGGCATGCTCTCCTCTCCACAAACCACAAATGGAGTAAATGCTTGCCTGGCCCACTTCCCTGGAATTACAATGTTGTTGCAGGCAAAACCTACTAAATAAAAGGTTCAATTGCTAGAAAAAAAATAACTCAAATGATTTCATAATAAAATACAAATGATAGAATAAGAATTTTAACTGTGTGAGTATTCTCAATTAAGAGAATATATTAAATAATAAAAACACGATATTTTCTAATTATTAACTTTATAGTATTCAAAGATCTCTATGATAAGACTCCCCTGTCAAACTGGAGTGCATATATCATGAAGAACCAGCTTGATGTAACTCTTGAAGAATCAAAGTAGTCCCACAGCTTTCATGAAATATATGATGTTTGTTCTTCACTAAAAGCATAAGGAGTAATAATTCTATTTCGTAGCAAAGCATCTCCAATGAAATGAAAATTTATTTCAATATATATAATTCTAGTGAAAAAAAAAATTTATCATGGATGCATACCCAATTAATCAATTTAAAACGGAGATCCACAAGAAATTGATACTCTTCAATAATGCATGTCATTTCATACTTTTAATGCACTATAGCTCTATATTGAAATTTTGTGCTAGATTTAGCAACAAGTATCTATTTTTTATTTATCCATGGAAATATGATTTCCTCAAAAAAAAAAGTACAATCATTTGAAGTAGAGTTTTAATCTCCAGCATAATTAACCTCGTAGAAGGCACCAATTTGTAAATTTTTGTATTATTTATAAAGTATTCATTTACTAAATAGTTCCTAAAATAGCTTAGAATACTTGTATTAGCATCACAATACTTCTTCTCTGGATTTTCAATGTGTTGACTTAACACACCGACAGCAAAGAAAATACCAAGTAAAGTGACAGTCAATCTCAAATCAATAAGCTTAGGGAAATAAAAATAATTAGTGGCCTTAATATTTTTCTCATTATTGGAAATTTGTGAAGCATCCATAGAAGATTCTAAAGGTTTACCCCAAAGAAATCTAATTTCTTCAAGTAGGTCTATAACATGTTTCATTTGGGAGAGAGAGAGAGAGAGAGAGAGAGAGTGATAATCTTTGTTCTATGCAAACTTGAAGTCAAGAAAGTACTGTAGTCGTCCCATATTTTCAATCTCAAATCTCTTAAAGATAGTATTTAATTCACTTGATACGTTAAATATCACTTCCGAAGATTTTGTTTAAAGCTAAAAGGTTCATATAGTAAAATTCCTGAGAAGATTTTTGTTATAAGAAAGTAAAATAATCTTAAAATTAAATTGATAATAGAGAATTGCCTTAGAAACTTTGTGTGATGAGAATATAAAATGGTCTTAAAAGTAAATTTTATAATACCAAAATTATTTTAGTGATGTTGTATGAATCTAAAAGTCGGGTTATGCAATATTCATTGATATCTAGATTGAGGAAGCCAAAAACTTGAATATTAGAAAGGAAAGGAGGAGGAACATACATGCATACAAACAAAAAAGATATGTTCAAATAAAAATTAATAAGCAAATATGGTGCCTTTCCCAGCATTGAAAGTTTTCTAAGTATACATAGAAGAGTGTAGGTCTACCCCTAAGAAAGCCGATTTCCTCAAGTAGGCCTATGATATATTTCATTTGGAAAAAAGAGAAGGTATTGTGGTCATCCAGAATTTTTACTATCAAATCACTTGAAGATACTATTTAATTTCCTCAATATTTGAGATAACTCTTCAGAAGATATCGTTTAAAGCTAGAAGATTAAAATAGAGAAGTGCCGAACGAATTGTGTGTGATGAGAGTATATCATGGACTTAAAAGGTAAATTTTATAAAACCGTTATTATTTCAAAAATGCTGCATAAAAACCGGCTTATTAAAAATCCACTGATATCAAAATCTATTAAAGAAAAAATTAAAAATATTAGAAAGGAAAAGAGGCAGACCATACATTCATAAATTTTAGGTCAAATTGAGTCTATTTTTTATTTCCATATAGCACAGAGTGCTACAAATGACATTAGATATTATGAGTATTTACATCAACCAGTTAAAAAAATGGGCAAACTGGCTCACAAAGCTATAACATTAAGCTACTTAACAGAGAAAAAATATCAAAAAACTTTATAGCCAGAGCTATGACTGATAAATTTTCAATAGAAGTTGCCATTGAACCAGTAATCCAACATATAAGATTCTCAACATGTTTTTAAGCCTACAGGAATTTGATCATCTGAAAAACACAATGTCTAGACAGTTTCCAATCTGAAAAGGAGGCATTGAGGTTGCTTAATGCCCAATTAGAAACTCCATCAGTTTCAGCAAGGAATGAAATAGCAAGGATTTTTTTTTTTTTTTTTTTTTTTTGACTAAGGAATTATAACATTCTTATTTATATGTTTTTTGTGTGGATCTTTTTTACGGCTGCTAGCCCTGCTATAGTATCCCTATACCGAAGACCCCCTCCATTCTCCAAATAAGAAAAACTCATAATTAAGCATACCGCATACCGCATCTTCTCTCACAATTCGCTCGGTCGGCTTCTGGTCTAGCTCAGTTGTAGACTTCTTCTTCGAATAAATGAAATCATCATCGTCTGAACCCCCGTCGCTGTAGAAAGGCCTCTTGTCCGATCGAATTCGAAGCCTCTCCACCAAGCTACTCATCCTTCAGTAAGATCTACACGTAAGCTGAAATCCTATAATTCAGGAGAATAGCAGGGCCTCCATCAAGAGAATACGAGGAAAGCGAAAAAATATGCTTTACCTAGGGCTAAAGCCCAGAAACAGAAAGTGAGCCTACAGACTCCAAATTGAAACCTAGCGGGCGCCAGAGAAATGAGAGTGAAAGTGAGTTGAGCTGATATCTCTGAAGACTATTATTTGGGAGCAGTAAGCTCCGTAGCCCCGGCGATCGCTGCCGTTCAACCGTCGCGGCGTTGGGGAAAACAGAAGCCTTCACGGTGAAGAATTAGAGATGCTCCGTTCCCCCCGTAAAGGAAAGTGATCTAACATAGAGGTAAATAAATCGAAAAATAATTAATTTTAACCGAAATTTGCATACATGGTACCTAATTTATAAGTATTTATATATCTGATAGTTTACTTTTTTTTTTAATATTTATACCACCTAAATTTTTGAATAGTATGCATATAAAAGTTAAAATTTAATTATTAAATATATAAATACATAAAAAATGAAATGTATGTATATAAATATGTCAATAACAAACTCACATATGTGTGTTGAATCAAAATTTGTGTATGAATCACACCTAAAAAATTGAGTGTTGAAAGATTTAGTATTATAAGTATATTACATTTATTTCTCTTACCTCAATGGGGACTTTGGGTTAGCTCGTTTGACCTAGCTTGGTTGGTTCACTTGATTGACTATTTATAGAGGTCTTACTTTCAACAAGAGTCTGAATAAATGTGGGGCGTCTAAGGATATTTACCGAATTGACTCCCCCATTGGGTTGGCACTTTTTCAAAATGAGCTTATGCATTGGGTCAACTCCCTCTAGTTTGGGGACGTAGACACCCTCCTGAGTAGTTTTCAGATTAGTCGCTCTGTCAACATCATTTAGCCATTGTCTCATCAACTTTTGGGCTCAATCGGCTTTGGCTGAGTTGGCTTGGTTCGTCTAGTTTGTCCAAGTCGGCTTAATGGGCCTCACAATCTTTTTTGTAGGGGGTTCTTCTCCTTCACGTTCCTTTCAACTGTGTTATTAGAATTCTATAAGATTGGCACAAATATCTTTTTTATGTGCATATTTTAGTTTTGCGGTTCTCTTACTTCTTAAAATCGACACTATGAAAAGAATAAGAGAATTAAATGAAAATAGTAGATCATTCAATTTTAACTAGTGACTCAATGATTAAACTACCTGGATTTCAGAGTCTTTAATTCTTGTAAAGAGAGTGATGGGAGACCTGCCCATGCATACTCCATTTTGTGTTTTTCTTCATTTGGGTCGATCATCTCTTGTGTATTTAGTATTTCAATAGACAAACTCGCAAAATCTCAAGCCAACATTCTTGCATAAAACCTGATCTGTTTTATATTTACCAAGGTAAGAGGTTAGGATTGCCTGAAGGATAAGAGGAAAAAATAAGGTTATAGTAAAAAGAAAGAGGCTCTCATTGTCGGATCAAGTGGGATTTTATAATTCAATATTGGGTGTACAGCTAAAAAATTTTTCGTTGACTGGCTCAGTTCCTGATTTAACCACCCAACCACCTGTAGTGTGCAAGACCCTTCTGCAATTAGCTGCTCAAATGACTTTTGATGTGCTTCATCTGCTCCCACCAGTGCTCTCTGATGAGCTTATAATGTTTGAATTGATTTAGTTTTTGGGTACGAGGGACTTTCTCTTGTATTTGCGGAGTTCGTCTTTTTTTACTTTGGTGTGAAATACCTCTTGTGGTGCATATGCTCTCGTGCAACCTAGTCCACATGAGAGTCTAACCGAACTGCAAAGGAGTGTTGGTCGTTCGGTTGGTGAGAGCAGTCAGCTTTCTAGTGAGGATGGTGGGGTCGACCACCCCAAATAATTCTCACTTCCCCCTGAAGGACACAGGAAAGCCGTTGGAGGGGCTTGAACTTCCCATGGATCAGTAGCTCATCATATGGATGAGATTGAGTGTTCCTTGTTCAATTGCTTTTAGGATCCAGTGGGATGGGGAGATACGTGAGCTGTTTACTCACATGGTGAAGGCGAAGGATACAATGATAACTCTTAGCCAAAAGCTCTCGAATATGCTAGAACAGTATCAAGTCTTTCAGGAGCAGGCTAAATCCGACAAGATGAACCAATTTAGGTCAGAGGGGAATTTTATATAGAGCATTGCTTCAATTGTGGCATGTCTTGCCCGAAGCGGCGTCATATTCTCTTATAAGATAAATTAGTTCCTTAGACTAAATTTGAAACGCTTTTACTATAGTTTTTGTATTTATTATGAAATAAAATTATATTTTTCTTATTTTTGTGTCGTTTTGATATTACAGATTATTCCTTACAAAAAGACAGCTCGCTTTCGATTTTACCCTTGAGCGATAGTTAAACATCCTTTGTTCTCCTATATATCAAAGGGTGGCACGCTTTCTCTGCTTTCCTGCCTCTCGCACTTTCTCGAATTTCGATGCTTCGCTTCACTGTTAGTTGGATGACACCCAAATATTATTTGAAGAAGTTTTAATTGAAATCTTTGGATGATCAATCACGGGTGACTCAAGAAAATGTCAACTCATTACAGTGGAGTCATCTTTTCAACTCTTCCGTCAAGCTTTGGGTCGGCCGCAAGACGAATCTAGGTGACCTTCTCTTATGGTGGTGATCTTTTGCCTTGTAAGGATCAGTTTCAGCTATGGATTCATCTTCCATTTGCATTGAGCTATGCTCCATATTCTCTAGTTATTAAGCTATCTTGTCATAGAAGAAAATGAATTTCATTGCATTCCTCGTGCCTGTTGTCATATTTTCTCGACGTCAAAGGATCCCCTAGTCGATTAACCAGTTTAACCACATGTTCTTGTTCCAGGTCAGGTCAGATGAATTTCTACATATTTAATATGTCGTCAGATTCCAATTGTTGGAGTTGGAAACTAAAGTGAAGGTCGAGAGTAGTGGTTTTACCTGGCTTCCTCCTCGAGCAACGGTTCATTTGGACGGTTCCGTCTAGTGAGGTTCCTTTAAAGGCAAAAGCAAAAGTGTCTGAGAAAGTATTGTTAAAGGTGAGCAAGATCGAGGGAGCCAAACGGTCAATCTAATAATACCTAGTGTCTGCTCTTATCAATAATGTGTTGCAACCCAACACCCTTAATATGCATGACGAAGGTTTACAAACATTTAAAGCTCTTTAGGCCTGTTGACCTCACTTTTGGTTGAGGTCTAGAAATTTTTTTACTAGCCTAGGTCTAGCCATAGGGCTTTCCTACTGACTAGTCTTAGAAAACTAGAAAATGTACCCTCACCATTAGAAATTCAAAACTCTTCTCTTTACTCAACTTGAAGTTCCACATGTTAGTCCTAACCTCTAGCACTTAGTAGGTAAAAGCATTATGAGGGAACTCAAGGAGAGTTCCTATAGGGCTACTTGGCCTTAGGATTGACCCTGGGTGTTGATTTGGAGCTAAGGTGGAGCTAGGAGCTAAGGTACACCATACCCTCACAATACCCTGGCTAAGACCAATAGATGGGGACCCAAAATGGAGATTTCATTGGTCCATGACTCATTCAAAATGATTCTCTACCCAATTGCACTTGAAATCCCAAATTGGTCTTTTGCCTCTAGGCACCTCCAAATTACCTAACTGCCATTGGGACCCAAATTTGGTCAAAATTCCCAAATTTTGCCAAAATACCCAAAACTAATCAAAACTCATTCCAAACACTTTGAATACATCCAAATTTGCCAAAAC